GGAACGAAATTACGGGCTGTTGCCGACCGGATCGCATCAATTATGTGCGTCGTGTCGCAATAGACCTCGGCGGCCAATTGTATTCATTGCATGCCTTAGCGCAGACAGCAACGTTGCACAGAAATATTCTGCATCTTTTTTTTATTCTTTCGTTCGGGGTTGGCAGAAGGCAGCCGTTCATATCTATCTGTCTGCCCATACGTACATCCTGCCTCATATAAAGAGGCAGTAGGTATGGCAAGACAAATAGATATGGAGGGATAAACTCGTGACTGCTCATGTACAGTTAAAATTAGTTCGATAGAGAAACCCGAAATCTTGCCTTTTCGGACTGTGGGTCATGCTTTTCAGTGTGGATCACATTAGGGGACCGAGCGGGCGCACGCTGTCGTAGCTTGGCGTAAGGCAGGCAAAACAATACGCAGGCTAGCCATTTGAATGCTCGCTCGTGACAAAGAGAAGTCTTCTTCCACTCTTTCTTTGAGCACCTTGTTGATGATGATATAAATAATAATGAAGGGAGAAAAGAAGACAGAAAAAAAAGAAAGAAAAGAGAACAACTTAAAGAAACAAAGAAGGCTGCCTATAGCTCCGCACTTATCCTAGGCATGTCTCCACAAGTTCAGGCCGTGTCAATTTTTTATTATTTACATCATCGTTCAATGATACCAATGAGGAGCCGTATATTATCAAGACGAAAGCCCTACATGGCTGATGAGCTTTAAGAATCCTGCATCTGACGCCGTCACCGTCCGCCGGCATTATACATAAATCACGTGTGACACCTGCCTTCATGAAGCCAGTGAAAATTAAAATGAAATAATGGTAAGTTACATATGAATTTCCGCGAATTATAATATCCAATGGAACCAGAAGTAATATTTAACTGAATTAGGTGAGCCAGTTGCTTGTGAGTTATGCTAAAACAAAAGTACGTTAAGTTTATAGAAGTGAATTTTACCTAAATAGATTTTGTACTTGGGCATTAGGGAAGTGGAATAGAAAGCCCGTGCTCTTGCCATTGATTCCCTTTAATCCACTTTAACCATCGATTCAACATTTTGGTATTGCACTCTTGATTCACATTCAAATCTCTCTAATAGACGATAAATTGAACAATTTATAGCGTTCTGCCTTCTACCATAAAAGCTGTAAATTGAGACGATTTACGAACTTCGTGATAATTAGTTGAGGCATTGCAGCACTAGAAAGTTTAGAACACAGCTTTCAGTATTCGAGAAATAGGTTTTCTTTAGAAAAAAGGGCTTAATTAAGGATTTAGAGTTTTTGACACTCTGCTATGGGAGAACATAAAGACATTGCGTTGACATCGCACTTGATGAGACTGTGTTGACAAAGATTACGCCATAAACGAGTTCACGACGGTGCATAAGACTCAGAAAAACAAACCGGTTTTCCATCCGCGACTAGCCATACAGACATAGTTACAGAACTGCAGCTGGGGTAGGGGTGTTAGATAAAGTAATTAGTGATTTAGAGCACACGGTACTCTACTACGCGACAGCAACGCCGTCCAGTGTACTTTACACTTCATGAAGCCTTGGCCACGTAACAAGGGGACCTACCGAATTAGAGTACTCGGTAATCTGCTCTGGGATCGCTGAAAGGTGTCCGGTGGGCCTCACTATTGCTGAAGACGCATGGGCACTGCACGCCGAATCGACATCTTCAAGCGGCACCTGTGTGTTTAGAAAAAGTGGTTAACAATTTGAAGTAATTAGTACTTTACTGTGGAAGAACATAAAGCCGTCCCGTTACTGATAAATGTTTAGAAAAAGTGGTTAACGATTTAGAGCACTTGGTACTCTACTATGGGAGAGCTTAAAGCCGTCCCGTGGTGGCCCTCGATGTTTACGATTACTACGTAATGTGTGTTCAGAAAAAGTTATGAACGATTTAGAGTACTTGGTACTCTACTATGGGAGACCGCTGTGCCGTCCCTATGATGACATCTGGCCTGGTTCCTTCAACCGAAGGCCTTATTTCGCATCCTGGGGATGGTTCTGACGTAATGTGTTTAGAAAAGTTTTCAACGATTGACAGTACGAGGTACTACAAGCTGTTCCACAAAATAGCGCTACAATGGACAAACTGTTGCAAGCAACATCTCCGACATACCAACATACTTGCCCTTCAGTATTGTCACAGCCACGTCGGTTGGTTTTGTTAACATTTTTGTCTAACTACGAATCAATTTTGATTATGTCACAGCATGTGATAAGCCTTTGGTAGCTGCGCATTACCTTTATCTCAGGTTGATCCTTAGCGATAAAAAAATAAAGATTACAGCCAGTTCCACGCCGTGGAAATAGGAGTAAACAGAGGATCTGGCAAGTGAATGCCAAGGGCATAAAGCCGCCCCACTGGCCTCACACTTGATGAGGCCTTGTTTACAAAAATTACGCCGTGTGTTTAGAAAAAGTGGTTAACAATTTTGAGTAGAGTATATAGGTGCTCTACCACTGCCATTGGACGAAAAAGCTCACAGGTGGCTCTACTATGGTAAGCTGTGTTCGTCATGCAAAAAAGATGAGATCATCGTAAATGTGAATGTGACTCAAAGCCACTCGAACCTTCATACTTATTTTACACGTAAGCGTCGAGATGAGCGATCTGATTCTCGAGTGCTCGCAACGATTGCAAATGCCTTTGAATGTTGACAAAAGGTATCCGCGTACAGGGTGTTCCTTTTATTCTAATGTGCAGCATGAGCTCGTATAAGTGTTGTAATTGCTAGTATAATCCCTCTAAGGAATATGAGCTACCCTTTGCCATGAAGCCGGCCACGTCAGTACATTGGAGAATGCTGGAAAGGGACAGATGGTAGTGGTATCTACATTTTTGAAGGATATCAGCTTGACGGTAACCCTGAATTGAAAGGTATGAGAGGGGATCCAGCCTTAGTTCTTAGTTGACATTCTCTGTATGCCCAGTCTTTCTGCATGAACGTCTGCCAAGCAGCTCAGCTATCTGTAACTCTAGGCAGTGGTTATTCGATCTTGCTTTCTCGGGCTGCTCTGGTGGTTGTCTGTACAGTGGTGGTTTGTCGATACTGCTTATCCGCGCTTGGTGGGCAGCAAAAACATTATGCCTAGCTTTCCGTAGCCCACTTCCATCATGCATAAAGTAGAAAAATAGTCTCTCTCACTATCTAGGCCGATGGACGTTGTCGACGTGTGGGTGCTCGTCCGGCATGTTGGTACAAATTTCATTACTTTGCTTTCTTTTCCTGGGTCATCCCCCCCTACCCACGTACCTGGTGCGCATAGGCGTGTTTCCGTAAGCACTGCTAAACATAGCGCCATAGAATGAAATTTTGGTAGCAATGAACTACCTCTTGCCCCTTCCTCTCACTTTAATCTTTTTTAGGGGCGCAGCTTCTTAACGTGTGGGTCGTTCCCTCGTAATAGTAGTATGCTGTAGTAATAGCCACTTCTACTTAGTTTTAAAAATTTCTCACTAGATAACGTTGTGTGTCTATGTCCTAGGAAATAATATCAGTAGATGGCACTAGTGCTTTTCGTATAATAAGAAATTCAGAGCATATCCACTGAGGGAATGATAATGAGTGCGGCGAAGCATCCATCTGTCCGTCCCTCCGATGTGTGCTCCAGTGCGATAGGAGCGGACGGGCGGACGGATGGATGGATGGATGGATGGAAAGACAGACAGACAGACGGATGGACAGATGGACTAAGAAATACGCAGAGACAGGCGGGTGGATGGATGGACGGACGGACGGACGGACGGACGGATGGACGGACGGACGGACAGACAGACAGACAGACAGACAGCCAGACAGACAGACAGACAGACAGACAGACAGACAGACAGACAGACAGACAGACAGACAGACAGACAGACAGACAGACAGACAGACATACGGACGGACGGACCGAGGAACGCTTCGCCTCACTCATCATCATTTATTGCGTGGATATGCTGTGGATTTCTTAAGCCTTTCCTTCAGACATAATACGCGTACAATGCGGTACCCTAGACAATAGACGTACAACTAACTACTCCACGGTCTGTAATGCTAAAAGTCACATACAAGTTTGCCTCGTTTAGAAAGTATAGCAGTGAGAGGTGGAATAATCCGTGCTATAGGAATCGTTACTACACGTTCTGCACGAAGGCATGCTTCTGCGGGACACTTGACGCTTGTACGACGACGGCATGGTTTGTATTCAGTAGTTGCGCTAAGTATCATTATGGACAATCACTTGCTCTCTTAGTTGGAGCAAAAATAAGCAAGTAGATGACGACTCTAAAATATGCAACTAAATAAATGTTATCAAAAATGATACGATCCTCTCCAAAAAATAACGTCAACACAGTCGAATGAAATGACACAATCGCAAAAGGTGCCTCGCTCACTAGTCAATCCGCACATGGGATTTGAAAGTGTGGCGACAGTGGTGGGGCACATCGGGGCAACGATAAGATGGCCGCGAGATACGCGGACGAAGACCACTGACCCGACGGCGGTGCGGCAGTAATAGTTCTTAAGCGTAAAGTCGTAAATTTCAAGGTAATGCGTCGTGTAAGGCCTTAAGCCATTAGGACAGAACACTGCCTCGACGGGAAAGGCTGTCAGCATGTGTACGTGTCTTACTCAATAAAATGAGCCAGGTGTCACATTTCTGCCTCCTTTTTTAGCATTGTTGATCGTCCCAAGATATGCAAAGCAGTTGAGCGCAACACTATGTTTTGAGTACGACTGGAAGTATGACGTCCTTGGAAAGAGACCTCCGTTACCCTTCTCACCTTCGCAAGACCCCTAGCAGGCGTAGTCACCATATTTATAACATTCATTGCGACAGATAGTAAGCTATGCGTGTGTTGTACCCGGTGTGCAAAAAACAGGTGAGCCAACGTTTAGGGTTAACCTCCTTGCCCCATGCTTCGACACGTTCCTTGATAACGTGATATCCAATCAACAGTGAGAACAAAAAAGAGGCAACAGTCGTCTCGTGGTGCTTGGTCGCTTTGGATATAAAATAGCACGGAGCGCCTCTGTCCGCCCATCAGTTCTTCTGAGCCGACTGAAGGAACAGCACAATCAACCATGATTGCAGTGAGTAGTAATGGCGTCTTTTTCTTGTGCGTTCGAAATTCGTAGCTGAAGCTATTCGTATGGCATCGTTAGATCAAACATATTTCTTCCCGAACATTGATGTGTTAAAACATTTCTGCCTAACCACGTCTCCTTGAATCTGGTTGCTAGGGAATTGCTGCTGCAATAAACTCTGCATGTAGGATTCATTCACCTTTTTTAATAATGTGCAATTTCAAGAGCCTTGCAAATGCGACATTATGTCCTTTTAATGTTCATTATGTTCATTAAATAAACACGTTTATATCTGGTGAAGATCCCAGAGATGAGTTGGACTGTTTTGTTGCAAATGATGCTATTTCTCTCAAAGAAAGCAGGCTTCTCTTTTAACGTTGCATTGCAAGCAATAGACGCCCCCACTCTAACGGCGTATGTAAGTACCAAGTTACAGGTATTTTCGCATTGTAGTAAGCTGGGACTACTGGGAGATGATTAATAATTATACGTACTAATTAGTAACTAATTAGTTACTAATTAGTAACTAATTAGTAACTAATTGGTAACTAATTAATAACTATACGCAAAAACCTGCAGTTCATCGGGTGCCTTGAGAGCTTACACGCACTATAGGCAAGGAATTGAACTCGGAACAATTACGGCCTGAACTAATGTCCTTTTTTTAAGGTTGCCTACAAACAATGCACCACGTTAAAAAAAAACTTGCACTAAAGTTTTCAATGCAAGCCCTCCGTCGAGAAAATATCAGTGAACCCTCCGTTTACGACAGCTTCAGTTTGGGAGTATAGGAAAAACTTTCATCCCTGCTTAAAACAGCCTCTACGACTCCTTCAGTTTGAGAGTGTGCGGAGTGCTTTATCTCTGCACCAAACGTGTAAAAGCTCGATTCTCCCATATAGGTTTTAGTGAAAAGTCAATGGGTGCTCCCTTACCTTCCAGGTTCTGTGCCTCTTCGCCGCTCTTGTAAGCAACGCCTTTGCGGTTTACGTCCCCACCTACAGCCTACCGTTGGCTGGCTACCCCACCGTCCCGGCTGTCGCGACAGTTCACGCTGCTCCCGTGGCTGCGGTACAGACGGTTCATAGGGCGGTGCCAGCTACACGCATTGTCCTCAACGTGGCTACCCCGTTCGGTTACCGCACCACGGGCGTCAGCTACAGCCACCGAGTCGACGCCCACCCGGTGAAACTGCGCTACGTCTACGGCCTCACCCCGTACGGCCTCAACTACGGCTACGGGCTTGACGCCTTCGGGTACCCCACCGTGCTGAAGAAATGGTAAGATATTCGCAGATACAACACCGACGAATTCCTTCTTCGTCAGCAGGGTCATTTGTGTAGCAATTGTTCAGGCAGCAATCCAAGATTGTATACAGCGTATGCTCGTCAAGAGAGACGAAAAGCCTTAACACTTATACCGTCTTCGTTTCGCCATCATGACCAGCAAAAGCAGCTGAAGCCGTTGTGTGTTCACTGAACGGACGAAAACATCGTCCTATATTTACCCATTTACCCTGTCTTACATGAACCAGTCGCATTTTATTCCTGCGTACGTCCGAACTTCCTCAACCCTGCCAACTTGGTACCTGCCATGGCTGCGTTTCAACTCTGCCATGCACAAACATGTAACAGATGAAGTCGGTGATACCTTCTGCGGCGGTATGACTGTACGAAAAACCTAAGTCTGTAAGGCAAGCTAAGCGAGAAGAATAGGCTCTAAAGAATACAAAACTGGTTAGAAACGATCGAATCCTATAGTGTTGCGAAAACTGCCTAGACGAGGAATGGTTGAACAGGGTATTCTCATGGCAGCACATGTTCGGAACATGTGGACTTCTATACATCAAAGCAGCAAGAGAACATTTCTGCTTTGACGTTGCTGTCTTGAAGATGACAACTGCTTTTATCAATATTTTTGCTGCAGGAAAATTCTCTGTTCGACGATCTCTAGTCGCCTCGAGCGCCTAAAATTTATTCTGAACGGATCACCTTAATTAAACTTTAGTCTATTCACAACTGTGAATATTATTCATATTATTCATATGACCTGACAGCACATCTGAGATGCTCTAACCTAAGTCAACGATCAACAAAAGATATGATTGACTATTCAATTCACAGACAGTACAATGGCAGATTACACACTTTTTGTCATTATATTGACAAATATAAAGTTCGTAGTATATTCCTTTAGTCAGCTACATGCTGTTGAACAACCTAAAGAGAGCGCAATATTGATATTTCACGTTTCATGCATAACAAGACGGCAGATGAAACAGTTACTTCATAACAAGTAGTCGTTAATATACTTATCGCTTGATAACAGCTGGTTCGCAATACTGCAAGCTACCTGAAGACCACTCTCTCTCATTCGCAAACTGCAATTTTCTCTATTTTTCAGAAACAATCTCGGCAAGCAACTCCGTGACAGCCTAACAGCAACAATCCGTGTGATGACATATTCGTGACAACAGACAACACTAGATGTTTTAGTCCATGTTTGTTACTTTGTTAACTCGTTTACAGTTTAGAGGACGAATAAAAGCGGAACAATAGGAATGTTTGTGTTCATTTCTAACTTTTTGAAACCAGCGATGGTTGTCTGTCTGTACATAACTCTTTTGGTGGCTGGGGCTACAAAACTACTATACAGCTTGCAAAACACAGACTAACTAACGTAGAAGGGTGGCAGCTTGGGCTAGTTGGTATGACATGACGATAGTTATAGCACGAGAACAGAACGACGACAACGAGACAAGAAGGACACGTCGTTCTGTTCTCGCGCTATAACTATGGTCAGGCCTAACTAACGACTTAGCAAAAAAAGCTGTCTGGCATAACTGCGGCTCTATAAAACTTCCATTCATGTGCGGCATAAGCTACCAGTGATAAGTGAATCATTTGGGCCATCTACAGTCTGTGTCCCAAGAAATAGTAAACTGATGGGTTTCAAAAATCTAAGTACACTTACCATTGAGCCATAATTCCTTGATCTACATGTTTTCATTCGAGCATAAGCACCTCTGTTCATTTTCAATTATTGATCATGACAGTTCCTGCATTTTCAGCGTTTCGGATTTTATTTTTATCTTCATCATGCGTCGTAAAAGTTACAAATAGCATTTCTTTCATATGAGCTGTAACAAATTAGTGGGGTTTTGCCGGGGGCGCCGGGGATGACAGTGGTTCCCGTGGCGCTCTCGCCGTAAAGACATTCTATAGGCCCCCGGCAATGCAGTTAACGAGATCTGATTGTAGCGCCAGAACACATAGCCTAGCGAGTAGGCGCAGCAAAACCGAGTCTTCCAATGCGTAGACCCTAGCGAATAGACGCAGCAAAACCGAACTTGCACGTGCATATCATTTTCTTTTTAGTTGTGAGCGAGCAATCACGGCTGATTATGTAAGCGCCCAGGAAGCGTTCTTTGCAAACGTGCCAAAAAGGGCACTGACACTACAGCGTGTCACTGTGTTCAGCGAGGGTTCCATTTTCTTAGTATCCCTGGCGGTCGGTACCAACAATGCTGAGGTGTCCCGAAGAACTTCGTTGCGCCCTCTGGTTCACTGTCGGGTGCCTATACTGGTTCATACACGCGAAATATAATAAAAGAATTGTCTCCTACAGTGATAATTCATGCGGCTGCTCATCCGTTCTTTGTCTCGCAAGACTTTCATGCGCGATGAATCAGTTACACACTTCATTTCGCACGTGCGCGCGCACGTGTGTGTGTGTGTGTGTGTGTGTGTGTGTGTGTGTGTGTGTGTGTGTGTGTGTGTGTGTGTGTGTGTGTGTGTGTGTGTGTGTGTACGCGATTATTTTTTTCTCTTTCCCTCTCTCTCAACCTCTATTTCCCAACCCTAGGGGAGGGTAGCATACGGAATCTCAGCATCTGGTTAGCCTCCCTGCCTTCCTCTTTTCTCTCTTTCACTCTCTCTTTACAGATCTAAGATCTGTAAAGTTTTCGCTTTCTTTTACATATGGCAGCTGTCATAGTCTACCCTGGGCAGTCATAGAATTAATAGTAGATGCGATAATGGTAGTTATACGCCGTCAAGCAGCTCAAGTAACTGGAGGGGAGAGTGAGTATAGAAAGAAATGGAAACAAATTAACCTTTCCCAGCGAGGCAACGTTTGAACCCGGGCCCTCACGGTAACGGGTGAGGTAGCAATGATTGAGACGAAAAAGACGCTAATTTTTACAACCAGTAAGAAAGCAGGGCGCATAGTTGAAAGCTAATGCGAGTACCATATTGCACTCACGATTGTAACACAGTTTAAATGTACAACATATACAATGGGCGCATCATTGCCACATCTCTGAAAGCATGTCGTTCTGTTACGATTTGTAAATCCTGTGCTAAATTCATTTCCACTGCCAGAAAGCCAGAGTACGAGCACAGCATGAGTGCCCAGCGAATCCTTTTCGTGGGGTTCCCACTACTCCGTTTCCTCAAACGTCGATTACGCCGTTGTTTGAGGTAAGCACGTAGGGTTTCCCCGGCGAGAGTAGAATCTTGCTGGCGGGTCTAGAAACCTCGGTGTGCGACAAGCACGCTACTTTCGATTTTCCACTGGTTACGACAGTTGATATGCGTGTCATCTGGAGTGATTTCCCTCAAGTTTATACCCCCTTCTAATTGAGCTGGTGGGAGCATCAATCACTTGCTTATCGAGGCAGTGGAGTCTTCTTATGCGCAGTGCCAGGGCCATCCACGTGTTTCCAAAATATCTTGTAGCTATCCTCATTTAATTAACGGAATCACTTCTTCCTTATTCAAGTTAGTATTACTTTATACCTTTTGACACATCTTAGTGAAAACTAACGCACAGTGATGCAAAGAAAAGTATAGGCGATGTTATTAGTAATAAATTAATATCTCACTACCACGACAGCTGGGGTGAGGCCACCCTGAGTCGGGCACGAGCCACGCAGCAGCTGCGTAAAGACCGCGCAAGGTTTTAAATGTTCGCTGTAGCCTAGCAGCCCCTTATGTCATGAATTTATTGTGCATATGCCATAGTACAATACCAAGTACTGTAAATTGTTAACCACTTCTTCTAAACACATCTGCTAAGTGTGTTACATGTGCGTGTCTTGGAAATAAATACAAATGAGCCATGCCTGGTCATGCCGAGGCAGTTGTGGCTACTAGCCGCCTTAGGAAGATCAGCACACCCAAATAAGCGGCTACTAATCGCCAGGATTGATCACCTTCAGTGTTTGAAGTCTTGAGCGGCCCAGTGTAATTTTTAGCTACAATAATCTTTTTTCGGATACTTCATCGCAGATATTTTGTTCTCTTTGTTAGTCTGTCTGTCTGTCAGACAGGCAGGTGGACGGACGGACAGACAGAAAGACGAACGAATGGACAGACAGACAGACAGACAGACAGACAGACAGAGAGACAGACACACACACACACACACACACACACACAGACAGACAGACAGACAGACAGACGAATGGACGGACAGGTGGACACGATTCATGGTTTACCGATAAAACTATCCGAAGCTTCACCCCACTAATCGTGATTCACTCCGTGCAGTTTGATTTTTTCTAAACACGCATATTTGTTAGCATCTCAAGACGCCTCTAGGCTGGCGGACGCCCGTCATGGCAAGGCAGCCCCCGAAGAAGGTGTTAGCCTTCGACGTTATTGTCCCGAAGGGACTAGTCCCGGAGACTTTGTTTAAGCAACGCCTTCGATAGTAGGGTTTGAAGAGGTCTTCCATGCACGGTGCTTTGGAGGCCGGAATTACGTAAGTCACCATTAGTGAAGCCGCTCTGACTGGAATCGTCGACGCGTCACACCTCATCATCAGAGAGCGCGTTGCTGTCATTCCCTGGGGCGTCAAGTCGCGCAAGTCACCATTAGGTTCCTGCCATGCCGCGTCCCCGGGAAGGTCCTTGCACAAGCATTGTCCCCCTACGGTAAGGTGCTGCACATAGGCAGAGAACTTATGGGGTAGCCCCCAACCGTGACAACTGGGACGCGATACGTCAGAATGGAAATGAAAACCCCGTCGCCTGTTCCAAACTACCTCAAGGACGCAGGCCATCGTGTAACCTGTGACTATAAGGAATCCAGCGGATGTGCCGTCGATGTGGAGACAGTGCACACTTCCACATGAATTTCAAAGCTAAGTTTTTTTTTAATTTGCGGCGTTTATGGCCACGATGGGAAAGGCTGTTTCCTCTGTCTTGTAACCGTTGTGGTTTGTGACCTGCATGCTACTGTCACCCGCACCATCAGGCCGTCGTACTTGGAGGCGGCATCCAAGAATTACCCACCTCTTCAACCTCAGAACGCAGTACAAGAACGAGGGAAACGCCTCTTTGACGCGAGGCCCGGACATCTGCCAGGGCAATGCCTCTTAGTTGGTCAAAACCTAACTATAACTATAGCCAGGACCAAGTTGGGTGGATCGCGACGCCACATTAGACGCTACACCCAATACCTACTGCGTCTCCGGCCAGCCCGGAACTCGCCGAGTATAAATCTGTCTAACTGAGTGTTAGACAGATTTATACTCGGCGACAACTTTTTGTGGCACCACACCCAAGGCTACGAAGCCCAAGCACACCCTTTCTTACTACGCTGCTGCATGTAGTCCACGAACTCTATCTTTTGCATAACGCGTAGCCCAATGGAAAATATAAAAAGAAAGGACGTAAATAATATGGTCAAGATTGTTCGCATCAAGATTGTTCGATTGTTCGCATTAGGGGACCTAGCTGGCGTATACTGTCGTAGCTTGGCGTAAGGCAGGCAAAACAATATGCCGGCTAGCCATTTGAGTGCTCGCTCGTGAAAAACAGAAGTCTTCTTCCACTTGTTCTTCGAGCACTTTGTTGATGATGATATAAATAATGATGAAGGGAGAAAAGAAGACAGAAAGGAAAAAGAAAAGAAAGAGAAGAATTAAAAAAAAAACAAAGAAGACTGCTCATAGCACCACACTTATCTTAGGCTTGGCTCCTCAAATGCAGGCCCGTCTTATTTTTTTTCCAATTTACGTCATCATTCATAATACCAATGAATAGCCGTATCTTATTAAGGTGAAAGCCCTACATGTCTGATGAGTTTTAAGAATCCTGAATCTGACGCCATCACCGTCCGCTGGCATTATACATAATCACGTGTCACACGTGCCTTCAGTGAAGCCAGTGAAAATTAAAATGAATTAACGGTGAGTTACATATCAATTACCACGAATAAGCATATCCAATAGGACCAGAAGTAATATTTAACTTAACTAGGTGAGCCAGTTGCTTATGGCGCATGCTAAAGCAAAAGTGCGCAAAGTTTATTAAAGTGAATTTTACTTAAATAAGGAGGAGGAGGAGGAAGGGAAGAAATGAAAGGCAGGGAGGTCAACCAGACGCACGTCCGGTTTGCTACCCTGCACTGGGGGAGGGAGAGGGGATTAAAGGAGAAGAGAAAGAGAAATGAAGGGAAACGTGTGTGTAGATGTGACCTTGTCCATTGCACGCTTATAAGCGGTCGCGTAGTCCGGTCGTCTTTAGAAAACTTAGCAATGCCCGCGTC